AGCATTAAACTAATATTTAATGAACACTGAAACACTAATTATCATTCTGACCCACTGTAGCCGAGTCCAAGAAATTATAGTGAACAATTAATTTCTTTCTTGGCAGAAAATTTCCCCTAACGCTTATCTGGAGCACCACATGATATCGACATGTATCAGTGTGTGACAGAAGTAAAAAAAGTATGCTGATATTAAAACTTCTTCTGCATGTGCTGGCATAAGTAAACATGTATATCTTTGCAAGTACACAGTAGAATATCATTAATAAGATGACATTATGATTTATATACTATTTCCAATGAATTTAGATTTATCTGATCCCATATCTTCATTGACTTTGTAAATTATAATTTTTTGGTAGGAGAATTAGGAGAATGAAGACTTGCAATGTATTTTCTGGGATAGGATATTGTCATGTTTTTTTTAAAGTACACTGTGAATCCTCCACAAATATTTTTTTTAATAAACACTCGAGAAGTTGCCCAATGATAGAAAAATGTCAACCTTTAATAATACTCTATTTTCGAGAATTTACCTTTAAGTTTGAATGCAGACTTGATTATCGCCATATCGGGTAGCAGATATCTGGTATGTAAACTCTTTCCATAGCCCGTTTGAAGCATGTTGGAAGCCTGACCATGCAATCTTTGATTTCCAAAATTTTTCTCTTCTCAAATTCTTTCACTTTGTACTAAGGCAAAATTTCAGTAAATGCATTTTCTATGTTGTTTTTCCATTTCTACGTCGCCATCTTCAACATGTTCCTAGGTCGCGTTTATAAGGAGCATTCTGATTGGTCGATATAAATACTTTCTGGGGTCAAATATTACGTTATATAAGGTCACAAAAGTGAAACCTTGTAGGGTACTTGTTAGATCTTCGTATGAAGTATAACGTAGTATAACGAAATCCGAGATCTATATTTTAATTAGATTGAAAAAATGTCCACAGATATACTGCACTTAAAGTTAACTTTAGTTACTTTCCTGAAAAAACCAATTAGATAATTTCACATAATCTTTACTTTATGACTTTATAAAGTTTTTTCTATCACATGAATAAGTAATTATAATTTAATGCATATAATAAACGTAATTAACTGCAGTCAGGGGCGTAGCTGCCGTTAGGCACTTTAGGCACGTGCCTACACATAATTTTTTCACAAATAATTTTTTTATTAAAAAAAGTAATAAACAATGTTATCTGTAGATGCATGTGAATTCGTCAAAACTCTTTAATTATCGAATGTCATGCGTACACTAGTCTATCATCCTTATTGAATCAGTGGCGTATTGGAACTGTATGTCATTATATTCCACCTAATATAGAAACTATAAACTAGAACTTTGGTTCAGATAATTCACTCCAATCAACAAATACTTGAATGAACCTCAACTTACATAAATGATTTTTTTTAATTAGTTGTTGTTGGCCCAAGTTCAATCTGATGCCTAGTGAAGAGAGAAAGAATGCCACACTCTCTGCACGTTAAGACAATTGAAACAACTTTTTGAGGGGTTAGTAGGTTGTCTACTGAAAGGCAAATTTCTGTTCCTATTTAATAAACCCTCATTTTCCAATGCATGGCATTTCCAAATTTCCAGACCTTCATCCTGGACGACCTCTTTCTGTTTTAGTCCTGAACATGCATGAATTATTTGCCACTGGACGTATATCAATCAATCAATCAATCAATCAATCAATCAACTAGCTTTCAGTAACTTCGAGTACTCTCAGATCTACATGTAATGACGATAATTATTCAAATTCCTAAGCAGGTAGGGATTTTACAGTACAGGATATTAGAAAATATGAATTTCTTGAATTTTGTTAGACACCGGTAGTATGAACAGAACAGAACTTCTGCATGACGTATTGACTGTGTGTGTGTATGTGTTTGTGTGGCCGGGGGAGGGTGAAGGTTTAAGAATCAAAATATGAATGGTCGATGCGCCGTATTCCAAAAGTTAGTATTATTATGTAGTAGTCTCAGTGTTTACGTGCCTATTTTTTTTTTTTAATGAAGGATCGTCAATATGTACTATCAATTGACGTATACATCAATTATACTCAATCAGAAACAGCTTGTGCTGCTTAATAAAGGACTACGCTGATCCACGCTGGGCAATGCATATTGGAAATATTGTTTTTTTTTACATTTCCAATTGTACTGCCGGTTAATTCATCAGTCAGATGTAATTGTAGAATTATGTTTATTTTTTTCGACATTATTTTCATGTATATTATCATGATAAAATGACCGTTTTTTTATGTTTTTTTGTACACAAAATTTTGCAACTTAAATGCTGAAAACCGTTTTCCGTCGGAGGGCTACGCCCCCAGAACCCCTTACCAGGGGCCTTATGGGGCCCCAGACCCCCTGCCGCAATTTGTGCCTACAGTTTATTGGATACCTAGCTACGCCCCTGGCAGTTGTCTGGCTATGCTTCATCTCACAATATATTGTGTATACATATACACCTGGTGATACCCACCCAGATACATTATTCACATATACGACCATGCAAGACCCTCATGGATAACCAGGGTCAGTAAAAAAAAACATGTCATTCACAATATAAAAACCATACAATAATTTCTGTATTAACAGTATTTGAAATGTTATACAACAGTTTAACCAGGTATTTAAAATCTTAACCCTGTGGTTTTTAGATACAATCCAAATGGACTTTGATGTTGATATTTAAATGTCTTCTTACTTTTTGTGTCATTAAGTTGCTGTCTCATTGATATATTATACCCTTTATCTCCATTATTCAACTTTTTATCATGGTAAGCAAAGGTATTAAGGCTATGTTAAATTACTGAAAGAACTTATATGTATGGGCTTTGCTCATTGTTAAAGGTCGTAAGGTGACCCGTAGCTGTTAATTTCTGTGTCATTTGGTCTCTTGTGGCTCGTTTCTCATTGGCAATCGTACCACATCTTCTTTTTCATATTATGCAAGATAATGCCTGGTTTCCCCTTTGATTTGTTCAAATCTTCAAATATTAATGTAAACATAAAGTAACCAGATGCTCCGCAGGGTGCAGCTTTATACGACTGCAGAGGTCGAACCCTGAACAGTTGGTACAAGTATGGACACAACATTCAAGCTTGATACAGCTCTGAATTTGGATTGTGATTAAATAGTTGACACAGCATAGGTTTCTGGTAGTCTAATGAACTTGAAAAATTTATTTGCTTTTGAGTAATACACTATGCTGTTGAATATTAATCCCCTAAAAAAAAAAATTTTAAGGAAATCTGAAATGAGAAAAATTGTACCCCCTACCCCCCCCCCCCCCCCCCCCCCCCCCCCCCTACTAAGCTAAAATTTCAAAGTTATTAGACCATGACTGAGGGGGCGGGGTCAAATAATCTCCATGGAAATGAGATATGCCAATGCTTATACAACTGCATACCAATAATCATTAACTTACCACTAGTGGTTCCCCATAAAATGACCTAATCACAAACTAATACATGAAAACTAAGCAAAGTTTCAAAGTCAATAGACCATGACTGAGGGGGTGAGGCCAAATAATCTCCATGGTAATGAGATGTGCCAATACCAATACAACTGCATACCAAATATCTTTGACTTACCACTAGTGGTTCACCATAAACTAGACATAATCACAAACTAATACATTGTTGACGCCGCCAACGCCGGAAACAGTAACTTATGTCTCGCTTTTTGACTCCGTCAAGCGAGACAAAAATCAATTTGAAAGTGATTTTTTTCTCAAGAAACCTTTTTGATGAGTGACAAAATTATTGTATTGAAAGGTGACTTTAATAAAATGTTTTTAACAATAACTACTCATTTAATAAATACATCATGAAATATAAAAATATAAAATGACATAGTCATGGTTAAAATTAATATAAATGAATAGTATTACTTCTAAAAAAAAAATTACAGCTTATCATCTCAAGACAATCATCATTTCTTAATACATAATTTTCAAACAGTGTAAGGGAGGTAATCAAACATATATATAAAACAGTATTCTTTAAATTTGAATTGGATTACCTCCCTAACACAGCTTTTAAATTGTCTAAATTGTCCTTTAACCAGAAAAACACGTGTTTTCCCCCCTTTTTTTGGCCCCTAATTGCTAAATGATTTAAGCCATAACCCCCAATAACTATCCCTTTGTAGTATGGAAACTTGTGGTATAATTTCAGAGAGATTTATACACTTAAACACAAGTTATTGACTGTAAACTACAAGAAGTTATTGTCTGGAAACTAGAAAAATGCTTGTTTTTGGCCCTTTTATGGCCCCTAATTCTTGCATGAATGGGACAATAATGCCCAAACTCAATCTAAGTCTTCCTTTTGTGATATGGAACTTTGTGGTACAATATAAGAGAGATCTATACACTTACACACAAGTTATTGTCCAGAAACTACAAAAATGCTTGTTTTTGGCCCCTTTTGGGCCCTTCATTCTTAACTGTTGACACCATAGACCGCAAAATGAATTTAAACCTTTTACTTGTGGTATTAAACATTATGGTACAATTTCAGAGCAATTGAAATACTTATACACAAGTTATTATCCTGAAAGTAGAAAAATGCTTGTTTTGGGGCCTTTTTGGGCCTATAATTACTTAACCGGTGGGACCATCAACCCCAAAATCAATCCAATATTTATCATGTGTGCCTAAAGACTACATCAGGTGCCATTTAACTAGGTGCCAATTTGACTAGGTGCTGATTTGACTATACCGGGTGCCGATTTGACCGGATACTGATTTGACTAGAACTCTGACCAATGAGCTGTTGAATACCATAAATGGGCTGTCGACATTTGATCAAGCTTCCGTCGTAAATATTGGTCACAGTGTAATTAACCAGATTGTTTTGGGGCCAGATTGATTTTGGGCCAGAACAACCTGATACCCTAGTACTGATACCCTAGTACTTTACCAGTATATAATAGAACATTAGTAAGTTAATCTGTTTATATCTAGTTTTAACCATTTACCCCCCAGAAGATATATCCTGTCATTCCTGTTGTCTAGTGTTCATTGTACTTCTTCTTCTATATTTTTCGGATAATCTGCAGTTGAAATTTCCATAACACAGATATACTGTGCGGGTGTGTCAACCAGTACACGCCAAGTTAAAAATAAACAAAAACTTGTGTATTTACAGGAACAAAATCAAATAAAATTATGTGAGTTTGCAACAACTGTACAGGGTTAAAATCAGGTATCAATAGTTACACCAGGAACTGCCACACACAGACCCGGAAGGCGTCTGTTGTGGGGGCTTGGATGGCACTTTCAGGTAATTGGTTCCAGTCAAAAATTTGTTCTGGGGATGAAACTGTATTTATAGGCATCCGTTGAAGTCCTGACTCTGTGCCTGTGGTATTGTCTGGTTGTTACAGTTGGTCTCCTGATGTAATCTGGGATAATGACTGATGCTTCTCCATGCAGGATCTTATATACAGGTGCGTAGCTACGTTTACGTCAAAACGCCAGGGCGTACACATGAATTTTGGAGAAAAAATATTTTAATCTAAATAAATTAAAAGATCTGGCTAAAAGCACATGAGCCTTGTAGTTCTTTCTCCACTGACTTGTAATTGAAGATAACAGTCGGAAGAAATTTACTTTTTAATCAAATGGTATCATATTTATTTGTTCGTTTTCTGTCAAAATTTGAATCTACTGTGAATTATCCTCCCTTTCTTATAGTTTAAAGCAATTCATTATCTGCTGATATACGATATGCAGTTTTGTCGAGCCTGCGAGACATTCCGTAATCGGCGTTGGCGTCGTCAATATTTATGTTCAGCCTGTGGTTAAATTTTTTTTAAAACATCAATGAATTTGTAAAACCTTTATGAAATTTTACAGAATATAGGCAGAAACATTTTTATGATCAAAAGAGTATCCAGAGCATAATTATGAAAATTTACTTTTAATTTTTCCGCATTTTACTGAAAAGAACATTGTTTTTATTAGTTAACAAGTAGATACTGTTTGTTACGCATCAATTACTTTGTCAAAACTTCATCGAATTTTATGTAAAAATGTTAACACCAACTGTACGATTTTTTTTTTTTGCACCAGATGCGCATTTCGACAATTAATGTCTCATCAGTGATGCTCGAGGCCGAAATATTTGAAAATCCAAAACCTAATAAAAACATTGGAAGAGCTGATCAAAACAAAACGTACATAAAGTATAGCTAATTCCGGACAAAGAATCAGAGCTTTGCATGGGGGAGATATAGTCCTTTATTTTTAAATGATTTCAAAACTTTTACAACAGTCAGCAAATTTCTGTCTAAAATTTTTTTTTTCATTTTTCAGTATTTTACCATTTTTTGGAGCAATTAGCAAGACGGTCTTGAATTAGATATTTTTCACCTGCTACATTAATTTTGTAAACTTTCATAGATTGTTATGAAACTTGGACAGAAGCTTATCTTCCAAGATCAAGAAAAACATTTAAAGAAAAGTTTGATTTCTTTTAAATCCTGTATTTGACTGATAAATGGATTCACTTTTTATAGTTTAACCGACAGCAGCAATCCCAGGCGAAACACAGGATTCCACGGAACCCTTTGAGTATGTTTATATCACACATGACCATCTATGAAGATTTATTATTGTATGTACTTGTCCATTAACGAAATTTGCGCATAAAAGGGGAGAAAACTAGATTAAGTCATAATAATCAAAAGAACGACACCATTGAAAATGTAGACTTGCTTTTTTTATATTTCGAAAGGTTTGGATCTTTGGTCGATTGATTGTTTTACCCAACATCTCCTTTTAAACATATTTCATAGTAACAACTATTGGCCATTAGATTCAAAATCAACACACTGAATAAATTATACATGAAAAAATCTAGAAAATAGACTTTAAAGTACTAGTATGTTGCTATTGATGAGTTTTAATGACAGAAATAGTATCTCTCTCTTAATAAATCGTTAGCTTCCGTCGGACCCCTGCTGGGAGGTCCCTTGCCCTGTACCCGCTGGGGACCCTCAAACCCCTCGCCGAGGTTCGGGCGTACACTTAAAAATGGCTTAGCTACGCCACTGATATAGGAGTATAAGCCTTGCTCCTTGTCTGCGTGTTGCTAGTGTTGGCCAGCCAAGTGTCTGTAGGATGTTGGTTACAGTACCTGGTTCCCGAGAATAGGTTGTTGTAGATCTAGTCGGTTGAATTATGTAATGACAAAGCATACAATATTTGGATACTTAAATTGTAAATAAAATTTAGCTTCTGTTTATCTATCTTGATAGTAATTTGTGTTGTCATCTATCTAAAGCACGTGAATAAAGTAAAATCACACAACAATATTGCACTTTGGATGAGTTTGGTAAAGTCACGACAACAACCTAACTTCCGGTTGGTTTTGTTTAATAAACAGAAGTACTCCAGTTGCTCCGTTCGATAGCCAACGGTCAGAGATATTTTGAATGAGGAAGGTTTTATTTTGGGAAACTATTATAATAACAGTTTTATTTAACATTCAAATACCAAACCTGTTTTCGTAAATTAGAACATTCTTAAAACTTATATCTGTTATGATTATTTAAAAGAAAAATCTATATGTAATATGAATTGTAACTGAACCTTGTGAAAACACTAGCTGTTTATTCTAAACTAAAGATAATGTTATTTATAGCGGGGAAATCGTGTCATTCTATAATGGGCATAAAATATGACTTGTACTCAGAGGCGTATTAAGTGGGGGACAGGGGTCCCGGTCCCTTTGTAGGAAAATTCGTTTGACTAACTAAGTTATTTAGGGGTCAGTGAAGCATGACTGGAGTGGGACCCCTCTTGGCCACTACCACCCCCTTTATCAAAATTTCTGGATCTTCACTGGTACTGCATACATACTTTTATCATCGGTACTTTATATTTTTCTCCTTTGCTTTGTTTTTACTTTTATATTCCGGCTCTGCGCTCAATTTAACTGTGCTTTTTTCAGTGTTGCTATCATGAGCACTGTGACATCTGGTTTCACTTAATAATGCTTTCACATTGATATGCATTTTATTTTATTTGCATGTCTTAAATTGTTTACATGAATTGTATACGCCTTTTATTTGTTCGTTGGTAAAAAGCTGTACAGAGCTTACATTATTATAGGTTTATAATGTACCAAATTTTATTTTTCTCAACCTTGTTATGTTTTATAGTCTCACTTATGGGTACTGATTGGTCATCCCTAATGACCGACTTGTTTTGTATTTCTGTGAAGCAGAATTCCTACAAAACATTTCAAAGATAATAAATTGCTTCGCCGAGCGCAGCTAGATACGACCGCGGAGGTCTTACCATGAACAGTTGGGGCAAAAATGGACACAATATTCGCGCTTGGGTCTGAATATGGATTGTAATTAAATATTTGACACATAATAGGATTCTGACAGAGAATAACTGTAGTCAAGGAACTTAGAATTGGTTGTATGTTTCAATTTATATTAATTTTTTTGGCTTATATGCTATACACTATGCTGTTGCGAATTGACCCCCCTACCCAAAAAAATACACCCCTTAAGCTTTCTGTTGCGTATTGACCCCTCATTTTTTTTTTGCTCTTGTGCAATACACTATTATGCTGTTGTTTATTGACACCTCCCCTTTTTTTTGGCAAAAATAAATTATATTTAAAGAAAATGTCTTTTTAATTACTGAAATTTCTGTAATTAAAAATTTAAAATTTAAAATTCCAAATAGAATTTGCAACCATAATTACCCATTTAAATACATCCTAAAATTCTTTTTTAAAACAGTTAGTTCTCTCTTGATGGCTGTATTTTTGATATTTTCACCTGTTATGTCTGTTTGATTTGTTCACACATCGTTGTCAATATAATGGAATTTGATGTGACTGTCATACAAGTGAGAGGTTTAGCTAGTTAAAAAAGCAGGCTCAATCCACCATTTTCTACATAAGAAAGTGCCTGTACCAAGTCAGAATATGATAGTTGTTATCCATTCATTTCATGTGTTTGAGCTTTTGATTTTGCCATTTGATTAGGGACTTTCCGTTTTGAATTTTTCTCAAGAGTTTAGTATTTTTGTGATTTTACTTTTTTCTAAAAACAAATTGGCAGCAAATCACCTCAAGACAATACATTTCGTTATACATGATTTAAAAGTAGTGTAAGGGATGTAATTCAAACGTAACATTCATGTACTTAAATAAGTAATAGTCCATCAAACATTGCACCCCAGTTCTATTGTTATACTTCATAGTTTCTATTTCTGAAACAAGTGTAAATTGAATAGATCTATTGTTACGAATAACAATGGATTTTGACCACAGGGTGTGACGAGCGGGGTTTCTGGAAACCCCTGCTTCTACATCCCGAAAACAAAGTCCATTGTTATTCATTACAATAGAAATTGATTATTCTTTAAATAGCATGCACATAAGAAAGTACTAATAGTGTTCACTACAAGTTGTTTCAAGATAATAAAAAAACACATTTTAGGAAATTCCAATAGCGAAAAAAATATTAAGTATCTATTTTGAATAAAAAAAAATCCTTTAAGGGAAAAATAATTTGATTGATAGCATTGAAAACTAAATAAAATTGTTCGCGTTTGTTCGAGAAAAAAATTCTGACTCCGACAAAAAACCATACCCCCCCCCCCCCCCCCTTGAAATGGTTGCTCCCTAAATACTCCTTTGCTTGAAGGTAACAGTTTTGATCCCAGTCATGTCTCTATTCTAAAGCATTGATCTTTAAAAAAAACGGGGATTCTAACTCCCGGACCCCCCTGGATTGCCCCAAAAAAGGGAGTCCGAATATGAATGTTTGTTTATTCTCGAGAAGGTGGGGGGGGCTTCTTTTTTTTTTATAAAATCGTTACATAAAAAATACTTTTATGATTACCTTCATTAAACTGATACAGGTAAGTACTTTGGGTTATAATATTGCCTTTATATATCTTTAGTCTCTTCTACCAAATCCAACGCTTGACTCAAAATGTCGTCCGTCTTATACCCGTCCATATTGACAACTGCATACAAGGAGCATGATGTATTTTTTTTTGTAACAAGAATGCACGAAACGGTCAACCTTGAACCGCTGATCCATATTAGCACCAGGATTTAACGGGAATATGCAAAACAGCAACTTTGACATTTGTAAAAACTACTCACTTGTCAAAGTTTGAAGAACATAGCCAAAGTAAGGTTACTAGTGGGGTTTCATGTAAAAAAAAATGTTTTTCTTATAAATCGTGGTTTGATTTTGTCAATAAATATGCTATCCGTTCTTTTTCATTAAATAATCAATGTTAACAAATATAGGGTTTAACATTGGGTGTAAGTTAGTTATACACCTCGGGATACGGCGTGTCTGGATAAGAAACCCCTCCGGCCTCCGACCGTCGGGGTTTCTTATCCAGACACACCTATCCCTCGGTGTATAACTATTACGGAAATCATTGTTTTCCC